CGGTCCGACACGCCGGGGAGAAAGAGTGTAAACGACTGAGGCTCGCATGCGTCACCGCTACTAGAACTGAGGCAGAATGAGTGACAAGCGATTTCAGTGGTAATTGGTAGTGAGTAATTAAGAGGATGTGCGTAGAGTATCGTGAGGTCCTGCCATGGTCACTTTGCATTCTGCAAGAGTCATTCTAGCAAGTGGCGATTGTGTTGCAAGATGTCAAGAGGAGGTCTCTGTCTGGAGGCGCAGGTCGTCATTGATGTGTGAGATTGTGCTGTGGGTATGCTTGTGGTGTGTTGGCTTTTCTGTTTGTTTTCCATTTCAGCTCTGTCCGTGTGACCCAGGTTCTCGCAATGGCATCCAAGTCAACGTGCATTGGTCGTGAAGGAAAAAAGGGTTGGATCCCTTTTTTGCCGGGGAGTGTCAATGGAGTTGAAGATTGAACGATCAATTCTTGGTTGTTTGCTCAAAATCAACTTCCCCAATTTTCGCGGAGGCATCAATACGACAGTCATCGTCTCATCGGTCGCTGTTCAGAAAGAAGAGTGAAACATCGTCAGAAGTAATACAGAGATTTATTATTGTAATATTTGTTTTCAGACCTTAGTTCTTATTCGCTTATTCCTTTTATATGTTGGTGTAACAATACAGAAATATCAAACGGCAGATCGGTGTTTTGGTTTTTGCGTCCGTTATAACTAAGCGTTTCTGAGAAATCTTCTAAGAACAGCGTGGGCCCGAGCGTAGCGAGAGCTGGGCATTAACGGTTTATGAGACGTAACTGACACCAGTCATCGTCTCATCGGTCGCTGTTCAGAATAAGTCAGACCAAAACTGTCAGAAATAATATTGTGATTTATAATTGTAATATTTGTTCATAGACCTTAGTTAAAACTTAATTTTAAAGTTGCCTATATGTTGGTGTTACAATAAAGAATTCTCGATAAGCCAATCGGTGTTTTGGTTTTGCGTCCGTTATTACTAAGCGTTTCTGAGAAACTTCAAGGAACAGCGTGAGTCCCAGCGTATCAAGAGCTGGGCATTAACGGTTTACGAGACGTGGCTGACAGCATGTTTTTCTCACCAATAGTCTCCCCGGCGTATACGACCCATCTGCTGCTTTTAGCATTAATCAATTCATTCACGGATGTAGAAGACTAGAAACAACTTCATAAGTAATCACGACGAAAATTTTTACAAAATTATGCGTAACCACAAGATACGAAAACAACAAGTAAACACAGTTAATCCAAAAAACACCAATTGGTATGACACATCACATATATACAAACAGTACACACAACCTCGCTGAACATGTCTTAATGTAATTCCTTTAAAGAATTGCAGGACTTACACCAGTACACCTGCAACCCTTCTCAGGTTGACGATTGTAAGTTGTGGAATGTCCGGACACAAACAAGATTAACCAACAATTACAATAATTGGAACTCACACAATTATTTAACACAAACATATGTACAATCAACACATCAAATGTTGTGGATTCTGTCTTGACAAAGTACCCATTTAAGAATTGCGGGACTTACGGCAGTACGCTCACATTTCTTCTCAGGTTGATGATCCAAGTGGAAAACGTCCGGACACAGACAAAGTTACCGGCAGATAGATGAAAGATGATCCCTATTCAGTATATACAATATGAACTTATGTACAAAATCACACACCAAGCACATTGGACTGCTCATTGATGCGCTACCCTTTGAAGAACTGTAGGACTTACACCAGTACGCCTATAACCCTTCTCAGGTTGACGCCCTAGGTTGGAAAATCGTTGCAGAGTTCATTTACTGACTTCCTTCTATGAGCTAAATCCTCAAATCTGAACGGCAACATGCTCATGTCATTGTATCGTAGAATATAGATGACTAACAAACACACGACGTATCTGGTCAACCAAGCGTAGGCACAGAGTAATTTACACCGAAGATAATAACATTCAAATAGTAACTTGAAACTAGAAATGTCTTTATTCATGCAAGTCAGTTTAACAGTTACACTCTCATACACAGTTGGCTTATCATCACTAAACTGACCATTGACTTTCGTCTTTTCAAACGGACTGATACTAGCATAGTAATAGCATAAGACACATGGACGTCCCTTTCCTTGTGGATGACAACACCGACTGACTGATACCAGTTGACGAACTTAGCGTTGCAACAGAAGCTGCTGCTGTTCGGCCTTTAGAAGCTTATCCATCTGCAAGATTACCATCACTGCTGTCTTTTATTATTAGCTCTGGTTTAGCCTGAACATCTGCCGATAGTTGGGCTACAGGCTGATCATTTACACTGACGACCTCACGAGTATCCATAGCTTCTACCACCGTATCTGCCTTTGATTCTGCTTCACGTTCGAGTTGTACAGGACCTTTTCTCAACTGAGTAGTAGTAGGCATTACCCTCATCTCATCATGATCAGCCAAAGGCAAAAGTGCACCGTCATGATCATTATCACAAACATTCACTTTACCGTCATCTATCCAGTCGACTTCATGATTTTCAAACTCATTAATAACGGCAGTAGAAAATTTGGGTTCTTCCTCACAAATCCCTAAAGGTTTTATACCTTTACTCTGACTGGTAATACCTTGTAAACTTGTGGAGTCAAAACTGCACTGTGAAACTGTAACTCTCTTCTTCTGTACAAACTGCGGTGTTGTCTGTGACACTCTGTTCAACAATGGCTTACCAGTTGCAACTACATGCTTCCTCACCGCACCATTATCGTCACACAATTCGGAGTCAGAGCTTGATGACGCTGATTTCACATTTAGCCTACTACTAAACTTGGTCACTTCTTCACAGTTCACCTTTGTATGCACTTCGTGCAAAGGTTTAAAACACAACCGTGTTTGTACCGCAACTTGTAACCTATCTGTTGGGGATGTCCCACGAAAGCTGTTACACTCAATAAGTTTATATGGATTGCTAGACACCATAAAGCTTCCTCGATATCCACCTCTCTGAGACCCCTTAGTCATAAATGACTGCGTTTTGCTCTGTGACTTCTCTACTCCAGAGGTAGGATGCAGTATACTAGCAAATTTGCTCATAGCTTGATTGACACCATCTTTTGCCAGTTTCAGAATATCGTCGAACTTTAGCTCAATTCATTCATCCTCTATACGAGAGCTTATCTTTACCTGTTTCCTCTGCAGTCGATTAGGTATGCGTCTCGCTATTACATCTAGGACGGAACTTGAGTTCAGATCGTTCATGCAATTCAACGAAATCAACGTGTTCCTGTAAGGCATCAGATTACCCAAAAACTCAGAGAAGTGCCTTGGAGTCATCTCGTAATTTACTACGATTACCTTTAACAGCCTCGAATACATTCCTTACTATCATTAAGGTCTTCCGAATCTTTGACGCAGTATACTCATAGCCTCAGAGTATCCTTCGTTTGGGGGCATAACCTTACAGCACTGTATAGCTCTTGCAGCAACACCAGTGCTGTACCTCAACGAATACATTAACTTCATTTCGTCATTTAATACAAAACCGCTAAGCATGACCTCAAACTGTTTGATAATCTGTGGGTAGTCGGCTGTGTTTCCGTCAAAACACCGAGGCTCAAATTTATAAATTTTAAAATTCTATTATCCCCAGTCGGCGAAACATGGACACCAATCTCATCTTGCATAGCATCACACACATCATTACACATAATAGGCAACTCATCATTACCTAATTTCCTGTCTGCTTTCAAAACGCTTTGACCTTTCTTTGACCCAGGCATTATTGAACTTGACCAAACAATCCAGAAAAGTTCCAAATAACACTTGTTCAAAGAAGACTTGCAGACGCGAGGAAAGACGAATTGACAACAAACAAGACGATCAATCCCAGGAGAACTATCAGAAACCATCAATGTCCAGGTCTAACCACGCTGGACTTCACACTGTCCTTGGAAGACATTCAGGAACTATGCGTAATAACCAACGCGAAAACCAGAACACAAATTGGTGACTCATGAACCGTTTATTCTTGCGCCAAGACAGAGCCCACCATTAGGTTATTGTACAGAAAGTCTAGGAAAAAATTTGGTAACAATAAATCACAATAATACTTCTGATGGTTTTTCTCTCTTCCAACGAACAGCGAACGACGAAACGATGACTGCAGTAATGATGACTCCTGCCAAAATATAGAGTTGGGTTTGAGAAAACAACCATGAATTCATCGTTCAATCTTCAACTACATTGGCAATCGCATTATATCTAGTTCTACCTACATATACACTAGCATGCACATATGCTGCATTAAGTATGCCGTTTTTATCATGATTAACCAGGCCGCTGTGTATATTATACTTATTTAAGGATCTCTGAAAATAATGGTCAAGAGATAATTGAAGTTGCTTGAAGTTATTACCTCTTCGGTACATTGTTTGCATTCTTGACACTCCTGAGAAGTCCTTAGATCTTGGTATGGCATGAATTCGTGAAATTCAGCAAACAAATCCACTGGTATATCACTTCTCTGCTGAGTTGTAATAGTTTGTGTTGTCAGTTATCTATCCGACTTGATAAAACGCTTCTTGAAATTGAGAACGTAGCCAAGCAGCTAAATGATGTTTGAAATCACCTCAACTTGAATGAAAAACTGGCCAATCACTTGTTTATCTCACTCGCGGGCACTGAAAATAACGGCCGTCGACAGGCTACCAAGAGTTCGTAACCTTCGATGTGGTGCAACTGTGTATCTCTATCATCTACTCATATCATTAATAAATCCACCTCTCATCAGCCGTAATTATTTTATTCTCTGTTCGCTTACCTGGCCATCACGTTAGGTGGGCTAAGCTAAATAGCAAGCAGGAAGCTTGGTCATAGATCAGGTCCAAACATCAAATGTGAGAGTTATTTCCGGTCGAATCCGAGTGGAAGCGACCTCGAAGTCGTCCACGCAGCCCAACTAAGTGGTTTCCCAGAAATATAGTTTAGTGTGTCTAGTATACGATTTTTCGGTAAGGTTTTGCGTATGCAAATCGGTGAAGTCACTGGTAAACTTATGTTCAGTGAAACTGCCTAGAACTGTTCTTGTCAAATTATAACACTGAGTTACTAGGTTGAAGTCCAATGAGCTAAGAACTCTGTCATTTTGAAGAATAGCGCTAGAACTATCCAGTATCAGTTGTAAGCATATTTCAGAGCACTCGACTAGATGGATATACTAGATTTAACTTCTGTAATCTCACTTGTAGCCTCTCGGCTAATCGGGAGTGAACTTGCCAGACTGAGCTCATGAAAGCTAGTGTTTGGAATTTCATCAAAAAAACACCGCTTCCTAGGATTCAGATTAAATTTTAACTTCATGAAGTTGTATTGCGAATTCTTTACTGGTTCTTCCTTCCAAGTTAGGTTAGAGGAAATATCTGCATCAATAACTTCACATTGCGGCGGTGCTCAACTTTTATTTGCAGAATTTCGTGTTCACGCTTTATAAGGCTTCATCACGGTGATCGGATTGTAATCAGCCTTCACTTCTTAGTGTTTGATGCATGAAGAGGACGTGGGCGTTTACTGTTCATCTTTCACTCCCCTTAATTGTCATAAATTAGTTGAAAACTACGTTAAATATCTAGAAGAATCTCTACAACCTGCAGAGTTTATCCAGGACATATTTAAGGAGGGAGGGGGTGGCGTTAGCTGATCAGTATATATGGTGGGGGTCACTTAGGTGAATCGCCCCATTCTGCAGGAACAGCAATATACAATTTGACGGCTCGAGATTTTTCTGATTTTTATGAGGGCTTAGATCTTTATCTTGAAAAAGATAATAATGAACGCCTAGACAGATCATGCTTCTGCCTTTAAATATATACCACTCACTCAGCCTATTGTTGAGATGCGACCGCATGGGCTCTGCACAGATTTATGGGGCATCTTATAAACTAACTTGCTGTTCATTGTCGGATCTTTAAATACCACTTCACAATGTCTTGTCGGATTCAATTTCCAATAACGTCTTTACTTGATCCTCATTATATCCCATTAAACCTAACATTTTATAGCTTTTTATGAATTTGATTCGACTTATTCTATTCCTATTCTCTGTAGGGTACGGTTGTGCACCAAATGCACAAAAAGGCATAAAATAAAAAAACCGACATAAGGAAAAAATATATTAAAACCAAAAGTGGACATCACGATAGTAGGACCTATATGAGTAGCATTATACATTGCAAATGAACGTTGTCAGCCTAGGGAGTTTCCTTTATTAATGCATTTATTAGTGATACTTGCACCTACCCTTTTCATTACACTTTATTGATTCACCTTAGCACTTTTACTTTTCTAAAAACAACTTTCAATCCCTTGTAAACGTTGTACTTACCTCAATATTGGTTGGTTATCGTATGCTTACTGCCACGGGATGAAGACGAAATGAAGTCGATTTTCCCGCTCAACCTGGAGGACAACTGTACAATTAAAAAAGTATGCAGCCTGGTTCAGACAATGATTGCATATATATATATATATCAAATATTTAGCTGTTGAGACATAATTAACTTGTAGACAATCTACGATTTGATATTATATCATACTTGACCGTGCCTGTAAAAATGGCATGCATTTTCATGTAAATTTATATGTTTATATGAGAATACACACTATTATTATTGATCTTTTCGGGAACGTAAGTGAGAAAATAAGATCACACTCCACAATTTAAAACCACTTTTTTATACCATCAAGCTAATAAATCTGCGACTACATTTTATGTTAACAAGGCTCAAGTTTTACTGAAGTAATTGAGTTATCATTTTTCAGATAATTCTCAGACTAGAAAGATGGTCTGCAACAACAAAGATGGGTCAGTGCCCAAAACCAACTCAAGAGAACTGATAGCATGCTACGTTTCCACAATCACTTCTAGCAAAACTGAAGTTGCTCATTCTGGTCACCTGTGTTTCTGGAGACTGGATGAACTTCAATCTCTGCTGAAGAAGGAAAAAGTCCATACGAATTTCCATCTGGCACAGTGCTACAGCTTGATATCACGCGAAGTGCTGCGTATATGCAGGTAATTTGTCATTAAATGAACTGTAGTCAAGATTTGACAGAATAGTTCTAAAATATTTGGGCGCCGAGTGAAAAGTAGACATTTGTAACGAAACGTTGGAATTACTCATTTCAATATCGCTGAGATTTTACAAATATAATTTTTTACAAATGTCCAATTTGTCATTACTTTCGACCGTTGAAAAAATCCCTAGTATTGTCTATGAAAAACGGTCCAAAATTTAAATTTATTCAAATATTCTATCCCTGTTTAGTTTACATCTAGCAGAGTGAATAGTCTGGAATTTCATCAAAAAGATTCACATGCTGTTGGAATAACGATTGATTATACTCATATTCGCAAACAGAGTTGTCAGTGATTTAAACTTGTTGCTAGAATTAGTTACAGTGGGTTCCCTGCTGGAGCCATAACTAATTAACTGGATTTTGACAAAGAAACACATTTTCAAGTTTTTAAATGGAACCAGTAGTCTGCTATTTTGAACGCTGCACGTTTGGACATTGAGCAATGCAAACCTATTTGGCGGGAGTATTTTCTGCTCTTGATCTCCGAGTTTGAGTTTATCACAGGGTATTTATTTCTAGTTGTATAATTCTACACCTGTTTTATATGCATTGTTTGCACTTTTTTCTTTTTTGGGTAATATAATCCAGGGTAGTTTATCCCCACTGGCATTAACTAGGACGTCCTAGAACAGTCATGCATGTATGACTGTTGTGTAATGGGAACATAAACCAGCCTATGTTAATGAAGTCAGTTGAATACCACTGAATGTTGAGTATTAAAATTAGATAGGTAACAGGAAAGGGCCTAGTTAAAAAGCGAACACACCAGTGAGCATCTAGCGCTCAGACGAACTGAGGTAGTGAGACCAGGTGAAAAAAACATTCACAGGATAATACTGGAAAAGACAGGAGGATTGGAAAGGGTTGTTTTGTATACTCATTGTAGCGTTTAGAGCAGAGGATATTTTCGATGAATCCCTGATATGGCCCTATAATTTTATGTGCATGTAGTATTTAAAGGATAATTGTTATTATTGAATTGAATTCTTGATTTTCCCGTCGATTGATTGGACCGAAGTGTTCGGTCTCAGGTTGACATGTCGGCTTCTTGTGCAGATGCTTCGACGATGTCTGGGGATTTGATTTGTATACAATTGGTGGATGGTGGCTAGCAGTGGAATCCAGGATGCGCATTTCGTCCTAATTGGGACTCGTCAGCTGGATGTTATTGTTAATATTTGTTATTGATAATATTTGTGGTTTTTCAGTAATACAGAGTTGTTAACACCAGTGGAATTATAATCCAAAAGCCTTTTAAAGCAGTAAAAATGATGGAAATGTAATACTAGACTTAATATCAGGTAAAACTAAGTAAAGGCGGTTAAAAGTGATGGCCAAGGTAGGGAAAGCGTCTGAATGGACTTCTGAACGCATAAGGTGAACTTCTTAAAGTGGATTCCAATGGCTTTGTCTATATTCAGAAAACAAACTCTTAAGGTGAAACAGATTAATAGGAGTGTGGTAGGAAACGTTTAGAAATCTGACGATGAACATTCCTAATTGGAGGTGGGACCAGTCTAACTGAGCACATTGTTGCTCATATTACAATTAGTTATTAATACCACATCAGTGTGTTCAGTCAGATGCTATGAAATTATATTTGACGATAGTACCTAAATTCTACTCTTACATTAATGAACAGTCAGTTTAGATCATTTTGATTTGTCGGTTGGAGTTTAACTTTTGGGGTATAATATCTCTGTCTGTCTGTTTTCGACATAGAACTTTGCACAAATGTGCGGTAGTTCAAGTCGCCACACCGTGTAGCACGCGAAGCAAGAGAAGAAAGTACAAGAAAAGCATAATAGAGGCAGTGAGCAGAGGTGTGAGACAAAGGAGTAATAACGAAGAGCAAAACAGTTTCATTGGAGATCATAGGTCACAAGGAGTGGATGCATCTGCGCCACTGAGAACGATTTTGAGCCATGTCACTAATTGTTTCCAACCATTGATTTTTACCGTCCCGAGGACCCCAGCCTGGAAGTGGGGTATAATGAAAAAAATTGTCTCTTACAATATTGGTGCACGTGTATTATTCTTATGTAATTTGCTATTAAACTATCTCACACATTATGTACAGTTCACGAGTGGCTCTGAACTTGATTTGAGTTTTACACCTCATTTTTCTGGCTTTTTACAATCTTTATACAACGGGTCCCCTTGATTAGTTTGAAAAAAAGAAAGAACAAACATATGTAACGTTCTACATCCATCCACATCAAACTTAATAGATTTACAAACGGACTTATATATATAAGGTACCATGTTTACCTTGCTGAAGGGAATTTCAGCACATGTCGTATACGTCACTAGCATAGTGATGACTGAACACGGCTCTTTCCCTAGTGATTCTTTCACGACCATGTCATTGTCAAAAGACGCAACCCATTGGTGTCCGTCAGGGTTGCCCATTTATCCCCATTTCTATCCAATTTCATAATAAATGTACTAATGGATTTAACCCTAACTCACTTCAGACACTCGGATTGACTTGCTACCATCAGGGAATAATAGTATAGTTGACTTAGAATATGCAGACGATATAGTCCTTCTAGGCGAGGCTGCTGACAAAATCCAGCAGAGTCTTCTGAACACCTTGAACTGAGCTGCAATCTACAAATGTCTGGTCTGCGGTTCACCCCTGCCGAATGCAAGATGATGTTACAGGACTCACTGGACTACACTAACTCCTAGTTTAGAAAAATAGGGAGTGAAGTGGTAGAGCACGTTGACCGCCAGTGGCAACGGGTTGATCTTTGACAAAATCTCAGCTGAGTACGGATACAGAGAGCTAGTTTCGGATATGCCAGTTCACGCCGTCTCTGGCGTAGACGTGATATCCGGCTGGTTATCGACCAAAGGGCGGATGTACTGCTCATCAGTCCTCTCCGTCCTTCTTTATGGCTGTGAGACCTGGCCATTGAGAATGGAAGACATGAAAAGGTTAGCTAGCTGTTTTTGATCATAGGTGCCTGCGTTATATCTCCCATGTGAAGTGGTATAATAAGGTGAGCAATATTGAGGTTAGGCATCTGTCGAGTGGTTGGTAGGTGGGAGGGGAAATGAATCGATTAGGCTGTGAAATTACATCGACTGTGATGGTTCGGACATGTGTTACGCATGCCTAGTCATCGCCTTCCTCGACCGGCGGGCAATGTTAGCTGACATAGGGTCAGGCTGGGAAAGAGCTAGCCAGTGGCGGTCGAACCAAAACATGGCTTCATCAGTCAATGGAATCCACAACAATTAGTTTAAGCCAGTCAGCCAGTCACGTAGGAAGGTGTAGACTTCGTGGTTGGGGTCCTCGGGACGGTGAAAACCAGTGATGGTTGGAAACAATTGGTGATATGGCTCAAAGTGATCGTTCTCAGTGGCTGGTGCTGATGCATCCACTCCTTGTTACTTGGGATTTCCAATGAAACTATATTGTTTTTCGTTATTACTATTCCTTTGTCTCATACGTCTGTTTACTGTCTTTATTATGCATTTCTTGTACTTTCTTCTCTGGTTTTGTGTGCTACAAGGAGGGAGAGTGGTGGCGACTTGAAGTGCCGCACATCGGTGCAAAGTTCTGTGTCGAAAACAGACAGAGAGACAGACAGTTACCCATTGGTAACATTGCCAAGATGTCATATAATGCTTTCCTGCCTGTACCCGCCTTTACACCTAAGTTGCTGCGATTTCAAAAGTTAGTGAATACGTCATTATACTCGGGCATGTAAATTTCAATTATCATCTATTTTGGAATGTAGGAAACACATAAAAGGAAATCCATAATAGTCATCTAATGTCTTCATAAGACTGCATTTTGTGAATTTCTTCATCTATCAAAACTATGACTGTATCGAGTTGTTCTTCAATCTAAGAGGGTAGTGTGTATATTCAAAACCGAGTTGTCAAATGCATCCTGCTGCACGGTAACTACTGTATACCAGGTTGGTAGCTCTTGTTCCAGCGTCAAACCATGGTTATGGGATAATTGACTTCTTGAGGTATTCTAAGTAGTATTATTCCAATAGCCAGTTGATGTTAATTATCAACTTCCAATTTGTCACATTAAGATTCATCTGGTAAGTCAAGAAACTATCACCTACAATAGGGAACTTAGTGTCTGCTAAAAATCTCAGAAGTTCATTCTTCTAAATATTTCTTGTCTGTTTTGTCCCTGAAAACGAAGTGGTAGTACACAAAAACATACTGTTAGCCAGTAATTGTTGAATCGTCCGAAAAAATGCCTTCACCTTTCGAGTGCAAAATAGGGTTTCAGGCTAGCGCTTTGAAGTTTCAGTATCATTGGCGCTTTTTTATGGGGTGGGGTTGCTAGCCTCACGTGTGTGGTTGAGGAACCTTCTACCACTAAACCACCGGTGCATATAGAGAAGAGGATGGTCTCCAAACGTCAATTGGGCTGTCACATTATCACCGTTCGCAGGCTCTATCCCGCTAACGCACCCCAAGGAGGCTCTCACCCACTGGGTTTCTCCCTTAGTACCTCCATCCTCCGACATGTCGTCCATATCGGCGCTGTGCTTAGCCTGGACGCCCGACCAGCATAAGCACCCGTATATCGGTACTCTCGGTCCAGTGAAATTCCGCTTCCTGGCCTCTGAGTAGCCAGATTACAGGTGTGCACCACCATGTCCGCCGAAAACTGTCTAGCAGCAGTTATTTAACTGTTAATAAAGAGAAAAGAATGAGCATTAGAAACACCCGGATTTTTTCTAGATTTTTCTAAAACTTATACTTTTCTAGAATATACACGTAGCGGAATTAACATGCTACTTAATATGTTAAAAATAAAATAAGATAAGCCTAAACAAGTTTTGTATGCTTAAAGTTAAATTAAGTTTTCTCTGTTACCACTTTTCTTATGAATCGCAAGGCATTTGTAAAGGAGATAGGTTCTGTTCGTTAGGCAAATACATATGTTGGGGGTGGGGTGGGGAATGTATTCTGTTTCCAGTATCAGTAATTTATACGCTTATATTGATCAGCCTATATGTGTAAAGCTTCCATTTTCTTTAGAATATTGTTTCTTTTGTTCATCTTCACTTTGTGCCTAATTAATCGTTTGTTTTAATCTTTGTTATTTATTTTAGAGCTGGCAAATGAGTGCTCCTAATATACCCAACAATACAATCAGACATAATTTATTTGATATATGTCGTGCTGAGTTCCCTGTGTCTGTTCCCATTATATCTCAAGCACCAACGCTAGGCAGTGCTCCCAGAAATGTATTTAACGCATTCTCTTCAAATCCACAATCTAGAAGTGTACAAAAATCCACTGGTAAGAAGAAAACAGTTTAACTACTTATCATCAAATTTATTATTTATTATTGTTCCCTTGGGTTCCTAGTGAAACATGGGGAGGACTTTAACTGCACGTCTCCACTTACTTCTGTCTTCTGATGTACTTTTCACCTGCATCCATGTTAGTCCATACTGTTTCAGCTCCTCTTCAAACGGTCTTCTTCATGTCACCCTCGCACTGACGTCCCACTCGCCGCTTCCTTTTCGGGTTCCACTCGAGCAGTGGCCTGACGCGCTCGCTATGTCACCCAGCGGCGGCCTTCTCAGCGAGTGTCCAATCCATCTCCAATTTCTCCTGCATATTTCTTGGGCGATTGGATTGTTTTCTTGTTTCGTTTGCTCCCATAGTTTCTTGTCGGTGATTCTTTCCGGTCCGGCCGTCTAATCTTCAGTATAGAGCGAGAGACAGTTGTTGGTTGATAAAGGTTTGCAACAGGCTGTTGGAAATATTCTTTGTGATCCTCCAGCCAAGTTTCTGATCCGTATAGAAGAACTGACTGACTTGACGTTTTGTATTGAAAATCCGAGTGAATTTCGTTTTTGATGCTGAGTGACGAAGATTTCTAGATTGGTTTCATGTTGATGAATGTGTTTCTCGCTCGCCTTCCCAATAATTCTCGGGTTGATATCCTCGTCCGTTCCGACTGCCTGTTGTTGAGACAATGCTGCCTAGATAAGCGAGTAAATGAAGTAACCTCTTTCAAATCCCTCCCGTTGATGATGATTGGTGCTGGATCTTGCTGCTGTTGTCGTTGTTGTTGGTTGGTTATTTTCATAACCTCCATGTTGTCTATGTTCACCTGAAGTCCTTTCTTCGCCGACTGCTTCTTCGACCAGTTTGTCGGTTTTCGCTTTTAAGCCTTCGATTTTGTGTGACATCAAACATAAATCATCCACACTCGAAATCCAGGTCTTCTAGGTTCTTCTTGTCGGTCCAGGATATCCCTATCTTCTCGTTTCCCACTACTGTCTGACGCATAATCCAGTCACTCCACCACAATCAGGAATATCATTCTGGGTGATAATAAACACCCTTGTCTGACTCCTGTGTTTACTCCGAACGCCTCGCTGAGTTTTCCGTTATGGATCACTTGACATTTGCCGTTGTCGTACAGCTGTTGAATAAGGTTGATGAATATTTGGGGCACTGTACGCCGTAGTACTCGAGTAGTTTTCAAATTACTTCACGGTCAACGTTGTCTGGTGAAGGCCTTCTCAAAGTCTATAAAGTTGAGGTAGAGGTTTGAAGGCACATCGGCTGACGACTGGCTTCCCAAAGGCTTTCACCAGCCTGCGTCATTTCACTTTCTCGATTCCAGCGAAAAATAAGGTTATTGTTTCTGTAGCAATTTGGTTAAGTTTTGGGGGTGGAGTTGCTAGCACCACACCCCAACCCTTCCCTCTTTATCATCGAATTTACTTCCTTCTATTTTTCTTCTTCTTTTCCTCTAGTCAATAATTCAGTGTCAAACTTTTCCCTAGTCACTACAAGTAATATTACCCAACAGAATGCTAACAATGCAGCCAATTATTCATCACTCAATAATCTCTTTCAATCACTTTCAAATGTATCAACTGCTCAACAGGCGTCTATGCCACCGGCTAATGTAACAGGTTATGTGAATACAATAGCTCCAGGACCAAATGGAAGTTTATTTACGCATTTTCGACCTGCACAGCTAACTTATCCGTCAAGTATACGTATTACTCTGCCTACAAGTCTATCACTTGTATCTCCGCATGTCACAGTGAATTCAAATGCTTTAAGATCATTAAATCCTACTTCATCACACAATCATATCCATAATGGGACAGAAAGGACAATAACAACAGCAACAACAACAACAACTACAGCGGCAACCGCAACAACAACGACAACAACTGCAACTGCAACCACGACTGGTCGTTGTAATAAAGTCATGTCTACAGAATCATTGTTTACCTCAACGAATCTTATTACATGCAATGGAATGAAGAAATTAGGCGCGATGACTTTTCTGCGTTGGGCAGCAGGTTTGTAATATAGCGTAGTTTTTGTTTTTGATAGTATCTTTTTACTTTTTTGAACTGTCATTTGCTATTCACGTAAAAAAGGCTACCTGCATTCTGGCATCTGTGTTCGGTGGTATAATACAGTGAGTAATATTGAGGAAACTCAGGGATTGACTTGCTATCATCAGGGAATAATAGTATCGTTGACTTAGAATATGCAGACGATATAGTCCTTCTAGGCTGGGACGCTGACAAAATCCAGCAGAGTCTTCTGAACACCTTGAACTGAGCTGCAATCTACAAATGTCTGGTCTGCGGTTCACCCCTGCCGAATGCAAGATGATGTTACAGGACTCACTGGAGTACACTAACTCCTAGTTTAGAAATAGGTAGTGAAGTGGTAGAGCACGTTGACCGCCAGTGGCAACGAGTTGATCTTTGACAAAATCTCAGCTGAGTACGGATACAGAGGGCTAGTTTCGCATATGCCAGTTCACGCCGTCTCTGGCGTAGACGTGATATCCGGCTGGTTATCGACCAAAGGGCGGATGTACTGCTCATCAGTCCTCTCCATCCTTCTTTATGGCTGTGAGACCTGGCCATTGAGAATGGAAGACATGAAAAGGTTAGCTAGCTGTTTTTGATCATAGGTGCCTACGTTCTATCTCCCGTGTGAAGTGGTATAATAAGGTGAGCAATAATGAGGTTAGGCATCTGTCGAGTGGTAGGTAGGTGGGAGGGGAAATGAATCGATTAGGCTGTGAAATTACATCTACTGTGGTGGTTCGGACATGTGTTACCTGTGCCTAGTCATCGCCTTCCTCGACAATGGGCAATGTTAGCTGACATAGGGTCAGGCTGGGAAAGAGTTAGCCAGCGGCGGTCGAACCAAAACATGGCTTCATCAGTCAATGGAATCCAGAAAAGTTAGTTTAAGCATATGGCTCAAAGTGATCGTCCTCAGCGATGGCTGGTGCAGATGCATCCACTCCTTGTGACTTATAATACCCAATAAAACGATGTTGTTTTTTTCAATCTTACTATTCTTTTTGCCTCGAATCTCTGTTTACTGTCTCTGTTTTGCGTTCCCTTTTACTTTCTTCTCTTTCTTTGTGTGCTACAAGGAGGGAGTGTGGCGACTCGAACTGCTGCACATCTGTGTAAAGTTCTATGTTGAATTCAGTCAGTCACAACTTTCACAATAGAATTAGAAATTACATCCATCAGGCTTCAAATAACACTCATACAACTACTCATATGTGTATGAACTTATCAACCACTTCTAATGGTTCACTCGCATGGGTGTTTTGCAGTTATAGGTAGCTCTTGATTACTGCTAGATAGATAGATAGATCCTTTCCAAGTGGTAATTCGTTGGGTGTGTGGGGTGTTGTTGTTAACCAGTTATGGAACACTGTGATTTAGAACGCTGAATATTGATACTTTGAACCAGCTGAAGTGTTCCAGACATCTTTGTATGTTGTTAGTTTGTTATCCTAGTTGCCTCAAAGATCGTCTTCCTGAAAGCATGCTTCTTACTGCTGGTGATGTGTTTGTGTGTTTCTGATGTGTCGATGAAATACCTTCTAGCTACTGACAATTTCAGCTGTTAATTCCATCGCATATACACATTCTGACTGTTAGATCTGCGTTTGCAGGTGAATCGAATAGATCTCTATCATTAGAAATACTTTAGATGAATTTGGTTGGCTAAAGAGCTAGTTAATTTATTTTTTGAAAATAATCTCCCCCGCACCCCCCCCACTATTTGAAATGCATATGTTTACTTGTATGTATGTATTTATGTATGACAGTCACCTCTCTATCTCAACTTCATCGACTTTGAAAAGGCATTCGACAGCGCAGCGTCGATCGAGAGGTCATTTGACAACTACTTCGCTACTACCAAGGGGTGCCACCGACAATTATACATCTCATCCAGTAGTTGTACGACAATGGTGTATGCCAAGTAATCCACAACGGGAAACTTACGGAAACCTTCGAAGAAGTGAAGACGGGAGTAGGACAAGATGGTTGCCTACTATCGCCAATTATTTTCCTGATTGCAGTAGATTGGATAATATGACAGACACCGGCGGAAAATGAGGAAACGGGCATAAAATGGACTCACACAAAAAAACTTGGAGGATCTGGACTTCGCCGATGATATATGTCTGATTTCGCACAAACTGGAAGATATGCAAGTGAAAAGCAACAAGTTTGTGATAGAAGAAGCATCCAGAGAAGATAAGATAGAGAAAACATAGGTGATGAAGATTCCTGGCCAACAGCAACAGACAACAATCAGCATAAATGGGAGGAACCTGAAACAATCAACCTCATATACCTACCGAAGTGGGAAGCATCGTTTCAACTACAGGCAGAGCTGACGAGGATATCAAAGCCAGAGTCGGAAAAGCAAGACAAGCTTTCATTACTCTCAAGTGTGTGTGGAGGTCAACAGCACTCAGAATCAAAGATAAGATCCGGATTTTCAACTCCAATGTGAAGTCAGTCAGTGCTAGTATACGGATCAGAGACTTGGTGCGTCATAAATAGCATCTCAAACAAACTACAGACCTTCATTAACAGCTGTCTTCTCTCAATACTCAAGATTAGATGGCCGCCAGAAAAGATCAGCAACAGGGATCTCTGGCAATGAGCGATCCAACTCAGCAGGAACCGATTGTGAAACAAATAAGCAGGAAGAAATGAAGATGGATTGGTCATACTCTGGGGAAACCATCAAGTGACATCACAAGACAAGCCATTGTCGAGTGGAAACCGAAAGGGAAGTGGCAATTTGGTCGTCAGTGCGAAGGTGACTTGGAGGAGGTCATGCGAAGAGGAGATGAAAGCATGTGGGCAGACTTGGAGCGGGGAGAAAACGTTGGCAGAGAACCGAACGCAATGGAGGTGCGCAGCTGAAGCCCTATGTTCCTCTAGAAATTAAAGGAAATAATATTAATAATCGTATGGCTTCTTACTGTGTATTACATTAACTTGAAAAGTAACTGTCTTCTTGTAGTTTATTGAATTATTTATTGATTACTTTCGTCTCAACAATAAGTACCAATCACAATCGGGGGGGGGGATTACTTTGAAGGAAGTCACCACTTTCACTTATCTAGATACAGCATCGTTTCTACTACAGGCGGTGACAGAGATGAGGTTACCAAAGCCAGGCAAACGTTCATTAATCTAACATCGGTAATGTAGATCGGCTACATTGTGAGCATAAGGAACAAGATCCGGAAATTCAGTACTCTAAGGTCAAATCAATGCTTCTACTATATGGTTCACAGACTTGGCGTGTCACGGGAAGTATTTCTGACAGTCTGTTAATGACTTTTATCAACTGCTGCATTTGCTGACTTCAAACACTGAAGGTCAAATTGCCCACGAGAAAGGGTAAGCAACCGGGGGCCTGGGTATTGAGTCTATCACCCAAGAAATATTCTGAAAGATGGATCAGACGCACACTGAGAAGACACGTTGAGTCATATGTCGCGCCATGTCCTCGAGTGGAACCTGAATGGGAAGCAAAGAGTTGAGTGTGGCAAGGAGGGAATGAAAGCCTATGGGCAATTGTAGAGCCAGCAAAAGATGACTGTGGAGAACAGGATGAAATGGACATCTGCTGATGAATCCCTATTATGTAACACTAGGAACCTACGGAAATTATAACAAATACTGAATAATAATAGTCTGTAATGTGAAATGTTTCAAAAACAATAGACGTGATATTTCAGTTTGTCACTGTCCCATTTCTCTTTAATTTCATCATATATGTACTAATGAACTTAACTCTATCTGACTTCAGGGACCCAGGGATTGACTTGTTGCCACCAGGGAATAAGTCTTGTTGACTTAGAATATCCGGATGACAGAATCCTTCTAGGTGAAGACGTTAACAAAAGGCAACAGAGTCTTCTGAACACCTTGAAGAGGAGCAATCTTCGAATGTTTGGCACGTGATTTGCTCCCACCAAATGTAAGATGATGAGGATACAGGATTGTGCTGTGCTGGACTACATTGACTCCTAGCTTAAAGATAAGCAGGAGTGAAGTGGTTGGTCGAGTGTGTTGACCACTCCACTTATTTGGAAATTTGCATCAGCCAACGCCAGTGAGGTTGATTGCTGACGAAATCTCAGTACGGATACAGACGGCTGGCTTGGCATAATATACCAGTTTACGCCACCTCTGGCTGGCTATCGGTCAAAGGGCGTGTGTTACTGTTCAGTAGCAGTTCACCCTGTCCTCATTTGCGATTGACTGTGAAACATGGTGGCCATTGAAAGTGTAAGACATGAAAAGTGTGGCTAGCTGTCTTTGATAATGGGTGTTCGCGTTCTATCTCCCGTGTGATGTAGTGGTATAATACTGTGAGCAATATTGAGGTTAGGTATCGGTTGAGTGGCAGGTAGGTCGAGGAAGTGTGGGGGGGCGGGGGAGGAAATCAATCGACGAGGTTGGGAAGTCACTCCAATTGAGATGGTTAGGACATGTGTTACGCATGCATCCCTAGCCACTGCCTTCCTCGACAACGGGCAATGCTAGCTGAAAACAGTTAGCTAGTGGTGGTCAAACGAATGGTTGGGGTTTTTTGGATCGTAGGAATCAGTGACGGCTGGAGACAATTGTTGATGTGGCTCAAAATCGTTTTGAATGGCTCACGCGGATGCATTCATCTTTTGTGATTTATAACTTTCAATAAAACTCATTTATTCTTCGATGTAACTGTTCTTATTGTCTTATATTTCTGTTTATTATCTTTCCCTATTCAATCTCTCTCTCTCGCTTTGTGTGATGCGTGGAGGGGAGTGTGGTGGCAAAGTGCTCAAAGTGTTGCACATCTGTACAAAGTTTGTTCTACGTTGAAACCAGTCATTTAGTGAGTCACTTAGTGAGTTTGCCAACGAAGCTTGGTATGGTATTGTATTACTAATTTTCTATTTTACCGCGAAAGCATTTCATTATCATGTATCATTCAGGTATTTATTTATGACTAATATCTCTGTTTTATGTTTTTCGTTTTCTCCCAGCGTGTACACATGCCTTCAAAAAGGAACGAATATCTGTATGGCCTAAATCTAAAGCTGATATAGATGCACTTCATGAAATGAATTGGCTTATCTCTCCACCTGGCCTATTAGGTATTTATTCAGAATCTCCATTTCTACGTCCTGCTGTATTATTACGTCGTGTTCAATTTACAGCTCCTGGAACTATAAATTCAAGTATCCCTGATGTTGATAATATGGTGCGTAGTCTTCGTGAAATGGCTGATGCTAAGGCAACAAAATATTCACGTTTTGCACCACATTTCCCATCATCTGCAGCTTCAATTGGATTTACAACAGATTATATGACCTATGTATTTACGTTAGAATTAGAACGTCAAGTTGTTAGACTACTGTTACGTTCTAAGTAAGTTCATATGTATACATATATATGTATATGCGTGCATTGTTTACTTATCAGTAATTTGTTCCACCCCTGAGGTTTGTCTGTGTGTATATTCAAACTAAAACGCGGAACAATCGAAAATGGAAAATTTGCCTAATGTGTCATCGATAAAAAGTAGTTCACTCTAGACCCGACCGATAGCTGGTGGTCGCCGGGCTTGCACATCGCGATGAGCCAACAAGCTGCACTGGCTGGAACCAATGTGCCTTCAGGTCTTACCATGCCAAAAAGGTTGTTAGGATAGCGATTGGACTAAAAGCAGTTATTGGCATTGTCTAGAAAAGGTTGACCCCAAAACCTGTACATCCCGACTTACCCTACGATGGTGGTCCGTAACCGGTGGTAAGTTTACTAATACGGAACCAATCCAAGAAACCAGTTCATACAGGCTGTGTGTGACCGGCTGGCCTGAAGCAGTTGTCCCCTGGGCTCTGCGGTCACGCAACACTAATCCTCTTTCTGTTTCAGGTACCCGAAGAATCAATCAACTACCACGGTGTGGGCAGCCGGGAAGTAACAACCGCCCACAGACTTCCAAAAGCACACAGTTCACTCTAGAATGTAAGAGATATCGTTACCTGAAAGTGATACTTACAGGAGAATAAAGTTATAATGTCTGATAACTGGCTGACTGTAACTGAGTATAGAAGTGCAGCAGTCCAACATGCCCCCCTAACCCATGTAGCACACAAAGGTAAACAAAAAAGAGATTAGAAAGACAGGCGGACTGACTGACTGGTTTCAACATAGAACTTTACACAGATGTGCAGCAGTTCGAGTCGCCACACTCCCTCCTTGTACCACACAAATCAAGAGAAGAAAGTAAAAGGGAATGCAAAACAGAGACAGTAAACAGAGATTCGAGGCAAAAAGAATAGTAAGATTGAAAAACAACATCGTTTTATTGGGTATTATAAGTCACAAGGAGTGGATGCATCTGTACCAGCCATCCTTGAGAACGATCATTTTGAGCCATATCACCAATCGTCTCCAGCCTTCATTGGTTTTCATCGTCCCGAGGACCCCGACCAGTCAGGAAGTCTGCACCTCTCTACGTTGCTGGCTGTCTTAAGCTAACTGTTATGGATTCCATTGTCTGACGGAGCCATGTTTTTGTTTGACCACCACTGGCCAACTCTTTTCCAACCTGATCCATCCTGTCAGTCAGGTAACATTGCCCGCCGGTCGAGGAAGGCGATAGGTAGGCATGCGTAACTTATGTCGATGTAACTTCTCAACCTCATCGATTGATTTCCCCTCCAACCTATCTAGCACTCGTCATCTAACCTCAATAGTGCCCACCTTATTATACCACTTCACCACCGTGGATAGAAAGATTTGAAAGAACGATAATAAGTAAAAAAATGTGAGAAAGAAAGAATATTAACACGGAAAAATAATAGGGTTTAATGAATATGGGAAGTCACAAACAATGAAATTTTTCTCCACCAATTCGGGACTATTTTGAGCCGTATTCCCAATAGTCGCTAGTCATTGGTTATTAGCATCTCCACCGAGGACCCTAACCAGCCCGACAGGCCTACACCTCCTTACGTGGCTCAAACTAACTGTCAACGACTTCATGGATTGATGACAAGTTTTGGTTTGGCCACGTCTAACTTTTTTTTGTCGCCTTATATATCTCCTGTCTAGGTAGGTGATGTCTCAGATTGTGGGACCTCTTGTAACCTCATCGGTTGACTTACTCTGCTTACCTGACACTCTACGCCTAACCTTAATATTACCCCGGGACGGGGAGGGGAGAGAATACTTTCATCCAGGTGAATGAGGATTTAGTGAATTTCTGAAGTCATACATATTGAGTAATGTGTTCACGCCGTTGAGAACAATTTCAATCCTTGTCACCAACATTCCTTAGCTATTGTTTCTTGAAATTCCACCTCCTTGCATCTCCCGAACCAACAGTTAAATGACTTGTGTTTTAGTTTTAACCACCCTTAACTGTTTTCTAGGTCAACGTTGGTTTACAAAGAAGGCAGTCACACTTCCACTTCCGTTTCATGTGTTCTTCAACTATCTCATCAATCGATACAGCTGCATAAGGTCGTCACAACTGAGTTTTCCTTCTTAGCGAATTCTTACACTTAACTTAAATATTACTCATTTATAATCACTCACTGAATTTAAGTGATAATACGCAAACACTGGAGTTTGGAAGGAGATTTGGAAAGTTTCGGTAAATGTCTTACAGCAGAACACCAATTAACTAGCAATAATGTACATGAAGTTCACTTAATGGTATGCAAGGAAACATGTAGGAGTGACATAACATTTTGGTCTGAATATCTCTAACTCATTTCCAACGCAAACCTACTCCATGTAACACTGCTTGTTGTGGAATTGGATCACTCGGTCTGTATGACACACTTGTCCTTGCCATTTCTATCTCTATCGATTGATTTTCCCTCCTTACCAAACACCCTACGTCCTACCTCATGTTAAGTGGTATTTAAGTACGGTGGAGACAGTTTACTGTCTGCATTGACTGAGGTGCTAGGCAGCGTCTGGGAATCAGAGGAAGTCCCGTCGAGTTAGTGTAAGTCACTGATTATCCCCATATACAAGAAGGGAGACAAGTCTTCCTGCGATAATCATAGAGGGATTAGGTTGACTAATTATAGTATCTAAAGTCTTAGGCTCAGTAATCATGCGTAGACTAAGTGGTGCTAGGGAGGCACAAACACGAGAGAGCCAGGCAGGCTTTAGACCAGGAAGAGGGTGTGTTGATCATATCTTCACCCTCCGACAGATTCTAGAACATAGGCATTCTTACCGTTGGCGTCCAACAGTCATTATATTTCTTGACCTAAAGGTACCATTCGATTCTGTCGACCGAGAGGTACTCTGGCGATGCTTGGCTGTAAAGGGAATGCCGAGAAAATACATTGGACTGATCAAGGCACTCTATCTGAACTCATTCAGCCAGGTGAGGGCTCACGGCGAGTTGTCCTCTGAAGTGGTGACGACTTGTGGTGTCCGCCAAGGATGCCCATTATCCCCATTCTTATTCAACTTCATCATAGATGTACTAATGGACTTAACCCTAACTCACTTCAGCGACTCAGGGATTGACTTGCTACCAGGGAATTATCTCGTTGACTTGGAAAATGCGGACGATATGGTCCTTCTAGGCGAGGATGCTGACAAAATCCAGCAGAATCTTCTCAACACCTTGAACTGAGCTTCAATCTACGAATGTTTGGCATGCGATTCGCTCCTTTTGTCAAATGTAAGATGATGTTACAGGACTCACTGGACTACACTGACTCCTAGTGTAGAAAATAGGGAGTGAAGTGGTTGGTGGAGCACGTCGACCGCTTCACTTATTTGGGAAGTACCATCAACCAGTACCAACGGGTTGATCTTTGACGAAATCTCAGCTGAGTACGGATACAGAGGGCCGTCTCTGGCTTAGTAGACGTGATATCCGGCTTCTTCGTTATTACTATTCCTTTATAGGTTTCCAGATCGTAAGTGTTACGAATTTCCTGGAATAATTTGAGCGACGAGTCAGATTGATTCATTATAAAATTATTTAAATTAATCCCAGCGTGTTAAGAAAATCAAAACAAGATTTTTCTGAACGTTTCGCCGTTTAAGCCACAGCTTCTTCAGAAGATTTATTCGGATTATAATTTATCATCAAAATATATAGTCAAAAATTTTACATAAAATGAAGTCAGTTTATTTGAAGGTCATTTGTCCATGGACACTTTTTACCAATATTTTTACCAAGTATGTAAGCTGTCCTCACATATATTTGTAATGACTAATGTCGAATTGTTGTTGTTGGTAAAAAAATGTCCATGGACAAATGACCTTCAAATAAACTGACTTCATTTTATGTAAAATTTTTGACTATATATTTTGATGATAAATTATAATCCGAATAAATCTTCTGAAGAAGCTGTGGCTTAAACGGCGAAACGTTCAGAAAAATCTTGTTTTGATTTTCTTAACACGCTGGAATTAATTTCAGTAATTTACTATTCCTTTGGCTCACTCCTCTGTTTACTGTCTCTATTGTGCATTTCTTGTACTTTCTTCTCTTTCTTTGTGTGCTACAAGGAGGGAGTGTGGCAAATTGAACTGCTGCACATCTGTGCAAAGTTCTATGTCGAAAACAGTTAGACAGACCTCATGTTAAGTGGTGTAGTATAGTGACTAGTGTTAACGTTAGGTAAGGTAGGTAAGTCAATTGATGAGGTTGTGAAGGTGCATAGACTTGAGATGGCTAGGGTATGTATTGTGCCTGCTTAGCCGTCGCCTTCTTCGTCGAGCGATCTTAGCTGACAGAGGATCAGGTTAGACTAAAATATGCCATCAGTTCATAAACTTTTTGATAATTTGAGTCATGTAGGGAAGTGTAGACTGCCAGGTTGGTTGCAGTCCCAGGAATGCTAAGAACCAGTGGTTGGAGACATTTGGTAAAATGGCTCAAATTTGTTCTCGATGACGCAGATTCATTCAGTCACTTTTAATGACCTCCCATTCCACTAAACTGTCGTGTTTTTAGCTCACATTTCAGCTTATTGTTGCTCCCTTTGAATCTCTTTTTTCCCCTTTTTCTGTCTGTTGTGTGCTACATGGAGGGGGGTAAGTTGAACTGTGTTGTACTTCTGTGTAAAGTCGTATGTTAAAACTCAGTCAGTCAGTCACATCATACTATGAACTCAAACATCTATGGTCAAAGGCGACCACTAACGTCTTTTGTATAAGTGTGTACGTATGATTTTTGTAAGATACGCCATTTAAATAAAACAGAATGGTCGATGTTCATATTTGAGCACTTCTAGATGAACTGGTTAGTTAAAGATTGCATTCTTTGCATCATATGTATGCTCAAAGTAAACGATTCCTGTCCTATTTAAGACCTCTGGTGTAGTCAATAATCTACTATTACGCAGTAGGTATTCGTCATGAGTGTCCTTTCTTATGTG